CCCCCCCCCCCCCGAAGATCATTTTTCATACAGGAAATGTGGAAACGTCTGTGATTTGGGGGAGGCATAGTAGTCATATATCTGTAAAAGTGTTAGTTAAACATTTCCAGCTGAGAAACTCCTGAATCCTGTTGTTGCTTTAAATGGATACAACTATAGAATCACTAGTTAAACTTGCCTTGACTCAGTTGTTCTATAGTGCTTTCTATTGTGATTGGAATTCCTTGGTACTCCTTTTGTACAAACCAAAAATGATGAGCTGTTGGCATCATTATAATAACTGCTGTATTATGCATGCACACATGCTGTGTTTCAGTGGTGGGATATGATCCTCAAAATTCAGCCAGCAGGCGTAAGACATTAGACGTTTAGGAGGTATTTTAGCCTCAGATCTCAGATTCCTCTGAGACTTATAAAATCAGGCTCCAGAGTGAAGTTTGAGAGTAATGGACTCCCGGTTTTAAACAGCAGGCCTTCAAATTAGCAGAACTGTGGTGTATGTTGAATTGCTCTGCAAGTGAGATCCTATATAATGTTTCTGTCCAGAAGAAATAAGACAGCATTCTACCTTCTAGTGCAGCTTCTTTATGTGATACAGAAATTGAATGGGAATTATTCTGCCCCTTTTATGAACAAAACTTGTAACAGTTAAATAGTTTAAAGCATTGTTTTGCAATTCTGAATTTGTGTAGTTGATCTGTCCTGTAAAAATATAATTTAATATTTTAAGGGAATTGCAAAACCTCATTTCTTTCATGAAAATAATATTTTACATCATGGATATGCTAGATTGAAATACACTTATTCATGTTTGATGTCTTAGTATTTTAGATGCTTAGCTTGAAAGTGAGATAATGGCTGACTTAAATCCAATTTTAGTTCCAAAATTCAGAAATTTAAGAGTGTATTAAGGTATTGGCATGAAATTCTATATAACTGTTTTGTAAAGACAGTTCTTAGTAGGTGGTATTGTATGTATTAATGTAATAATTAACTACTAGTTGTTAATTGTCATTAACCATTAGTTGTTCATTTTTCTACTCCATGGATTACATGCATCCAGAGATGAAATATCACTACTCAGACAAGAAATCCAAGACTTGCAAACTTCACTTAAGGTTTGAAAAGGCTTTTACTGGCATTATTTCAAATTGTGAAGTGTATCAGCAAGCTTAAATTGTACACTTACCATATGTGCTTTTCATCTCCTTCCTCTAGGAGGAAAGGTGGTACTCAGAAGAATTGAAGAAGGAACTGGAAAAGGTGCAAGGGCAGCAGCAGCAAGTAATTGCTTTAAAATACTTGAAGCAGGTTTACAACAAGCAGTTAATTATCATCATTGGCATTTGAAGATTAATACCCTTTTTGTGAGGCACGTGGCCTGATTTCAATAATTATATAACTTGATGCTAAATAAACCATTTTTGACAGTCATTTCTGGGTTTTAAGAATAAAGGGATGTTAATGTATTTAGTGCTCCTTCCCTAACGCATGCCCTGTAATCTTGATTCAGGTTTTTCCTTCCAGTGTGGTCATTCACAACCCTCTGGTATTTCAGCTGATATTTTAGAAGATTTTGCTTCCAACATATTTCTGAGGATAGTAGTATAATTAAAAACAAAAGAAACCATAAAATCCCACATAACCTAACTTGTGTAGCAAAAAAAATTAATTATAGTCTGAACCCTCTTAACTGGCTAGTGGAAGTACTTGTGTTCTAACGTATCTTCATATGGTAAGTTACTTCAATATGTAATTATACAAAGCTCAGAAATATGCATGCTGCGTGAAATTTATCCCTGTCCAGAGGGCCTATAAAATTCATACACACCACATGAATGATATGTAAGACTTGTCACTCGCATGCAATCAAAAGACTAGTCACCAGAACTTTCTTGGGTGAAAAAAATCCCTTTGTTTTTTATTCTGTATATTAGCGTGCATAATATTTGCACAGACAGATTCAAGGTAAAGGAAGATTTGTTACCATTGCACCCTTTCTAGTTTGAGAGTGTGATGGCTTAGCAGTACGAGGGGATGGAACATTATGTTGACCTTTTCTGTTCTTCAGGGGTAACTCCCTTCAGAGAGATGCTTAATCAAGTACACAAATTACTTTACAGCAGCAAAGCCTGCACATCTATTTCAGTACCGTTTTTAAAGTTTCCAAGTATGGCACTCATTTTCAGATGCCACAGGAACTGTCCTTAGAATTATTTGTTGTCTTGATTGCCTGGTAATGCACTTATTCTTTTTTTCTTTTTTTTACTTCCTTTTATTTATTTTTTAAGGAGTCTAAGCCTGATGGTTTGACACCTGCATCTACAGGTAAAAAACCCCACATTTTAATACTGTACTTTCTACTTTGCTCTGAGAATTGTGGGAGCAAGTTCATTGTATTTTCTGGCAAAATGATGAATAGTCTTTACTTGACTTTAAGGCTAAATGCTGCAATTATGTAAAACTGTCTTTTTGTATTAATATATTCCTGTGCATTTATAAAGGTGACCTCTGCCATTCATGGTACATAAGAATGTTAGAGGAGATATTTTGCTTCATTGAATCATTCCTTCTTTTTTTCTGAGGAAGATGTCTGTGACTGTGGAAGGACTTCTAATCATGGTTTTGATTATGCCTTCAACAGTTTCAATCATCCAAACAGCTAATAAAAGACATGTGGCCCAGAGGGGGCGTGGAGACAAATTACTGACACTTATTATATCAGTTGTCAGTGCTTGTTCTGTTTAGTGCCTTTCTTTCCTGCTTTCTGCCAAAGAGAATGCTTTTTTTGTTTAAAAAAGTCCTGCATACTTATAATTTTTGTTCCATGTGATATTTGTATGGGGAACTCAAGAATAATAACTTTCTTATGTGTGCTCACTGTCTCCTGCTGATCTCTATTATATGACTTTTAATAGCATCGCAGGGCTGAAAAATCAGCAGCATACAAAAGTACTCAAGCTGGATATATACTGTCTTTTTCCATTGGTCAGAATATGTGCTTTGTCATGTAAAGTGCTGAGTGTTCTGATTGGCTTCAGCAAAAAACTCTAGCATGTGAATAGTCTTAATGCAGTGAATTGAAAGTTAAGCAAGCTTAGGTTGATTATTCATTTTCAGTGCTTTTTTATCAATGTAACTGTCTGTATAACCTTACTCTAATTTATTTTGGGAAAATTAGCATAAGACTCTTCTTCTTATAGAACTTGAATCATTAGAACGGCAACTAGAAGAGATCCAAGTAGAAAATTTTAATATTAAGCAAATGAAAGACCTGTTTGAACAGAAAGCAGCTCAACTGGCTACTGAAATTGTGGGTAGGTATATACCATGCAATCCCATTCTCCTCTTATCTTGAACCTTGGATAAATTATCTTTTGCCTAACATCCTTCTTAACTAGATCTTAAGGCCAAGTATGATGAAGAAATGAGTCTTCGAGAAGGTGCTGAGCAGAAAGTGATGAATTTGACACAAGAATTGCAGAGAGAGAGAACTGTAATAGAGGACCTGAAGACCGAGCTGGTAATTTATATCATGATATTTATTTAACTTATCCTGACATTCCCAAAATAAAGTGGGGATGGATTTCAATTGTTTGCTCATTCCAAATGTATTTTTAAAACAGACTGTCACTGTTGAATTTGGAGCTCTTTGCAGAAGAAAGCATTCAGAAAATACCTGTTTCATGTCCTAAATTTCCAATAACTTCTCATTACAGAGGTGCAAATTATGCCTACTCTAAATATTAAACAGCTTGCATTATGCTGCACAAAATATATTAAAACATGTTAACTATCTAGTACGTTATTTTAAGGTTTCCGAGTAGCTTCCTTTTTCAGGAATGTCATTATGTATTAATACTTGTACCTGCCTGTTTAGGCCTTACTAGGCAACCTTCACTCCTGGAGAGTGCCACTGCTAATGTCAAGGGTTATCTAGATTAAGAAGAAAAAGGTAACGTGTTTCACTCTTGCTGCTGCCAGACAATCTAATTCATAAGACCTGCTTACAAGGGCAGTGGTGGTGATTAAAATGCTGACAGCTGTCAGTGCCTTATTTGTGCTACTGACTTTTTGGCAGTTGACTTTGTTACACCAAGACACATTGTGGCTCTGTAGAGGTACAATATTCAAAGATTAGTTTTCCCTAGCAGTCTTTTTCACGATTGCAATTTTTGAGGAACCTGGCCAGAGATCTGGAAACCTGCCTTCTATATAGGGTGCAGCAAAATTTTTTAGGTGGTGGCCCTTCCATCCTCCTGTCATCTTCCGTTAATGCACCCTGACACTCATGTTCTGGATCCTCCGTCTCCTATTCCTTTCACTCCTCTCCTTCCTTCCCTTGCTTTCTCCTCCCACCTTCAGTCCTCCCCCCACTCCACACACTGCTGTATTCTACTAGTGGTTGGCCTGTTTTTGTCTGACTCCATGCTACCCTACTGCTACAACCTTTCAGCTGCCCAGTTTTGCTCTCCCTGCTCATTGTACTTCTCATAATCTTCTCTTCCTTCCTCCTTCTCTCTTTACCTTTTTCCTCATTCTTATGATTTTCGCTTCTCTGACACCAGCAGTTCCTTTTCTCTTCCCATGTTAGTGTTAAATGTTGTATCTGCTCCTCATAAGAGCCCAGCTAGCAGAGCCTTTTTATAACATATGGAGTAACCAACCCACCTTTTGGAACCGATCTGTCTGTAAGTTATTGCTTCCCTGATCACTTTGTTAATTTCTTCCTCCATGCCTCCTCTTGTTCTGTTTTTTTAGTTTGGAAGCCATACCAGGTCATAGTGTATATTTTGAACAGCAACAAAAGTATATGGGATCTAGCTCCTGATTGAAGTTTTGCATTGTCCCACAGTATGGATAGCAAATGTCTACATTTATCTTTTTTAATCTCTCGTTTAGTGAAAAACTTTTCCTTTTGCAATTTTTTCCAACAAGAAACCTTGTGAAATGAATGTGGAAGTCTTTACAGGGCATGAAACCAAATTGTCAACACTTCTGTTGTTATCAGATTTCCTTATTACAACTACACATTGTGTCACTATTTAGCTGCAAAGGCCTGGTCAAGAGGATGTAGCTGTTCTAAAGAAGGAGCTGGTTCAAGTTCAGACGCTGATGGACAAGATGACTTTGGAACGTGAGAGAGAATCTGAAAAACTGAAAGATGAGTGCAAGCACTTGCAGGCAGAATATATTAACTCAGAGGTAATGAAACCATATAAAAAGGCTTTATGTGAGCCTTAGCTTTGCCACAGTGGTCATATGAAAATGACTAATGTTAATCCATCATAATGAATAGAATGTTGATTTTCTAAATAACCCGGTAGGGAGTTTCTTCATTACATTAGTGTTGAATGCATAATTACATCAGCAGTATTTATCCTAACAACTAATCTTTCTTTATACAAAAAGTAGAGCTTTGCGATAGAAAAAGGTATTTTTATAAAAATATTCAGTGAAGGAGAAGCAAGTTCTCTTGTTGGTATGCATTACATCCTTTCCAGAGAGAGAGAGAATGAGAGGGATATATTTATGACTTGAAAAGAACAGTTATTTTCAGAACTTTTTTGTAGTATGTAGGCAAGAATAAGTTTTTAGTTGTTGTTTTGGTTGTTAACTGCAAAGTTGACAGTTTTTTTAAAGAGAAGAATGTTATATTTAATTTTTTTAGTGTTAATTAAAACTGAAAATGAATCATTTGGTACAACATAGAGAATGATTTAAATGTAGTAATTTTGCAGTGTTGTAGCCATGATGGTTTAGGGAATGTCCAAGAGGCAAGGATTATTTGTGCTATTTTTTTTATTGGAAAAGCTGTATAGTTTGGAGAGCCATTGGACAAGTTTTGAGGCATCAAGTGCCCTTCCTCAGGTCTAAGAAGTAGGCAGATGCAGGCTGACTGAGTGCCAGAAAGAAGAGTCTATGCAAATGCAGTCTCCTTGGAGGAATGGAGGGGGGCTGTGAACAAGGAGTGAAATAATATTAAAAGGATTCCTTATGAGAAGAAAAGATCAATAGATAGGAAATCTAGTTAGTGGCAGAGGGAGACCATTCAAGACTTGAGTTTTTACGTGGCAGTATTTGCTAGGTTATAATGATCCATAAAGACATTGTTTGGATGAAGTCCATTTTTTTTTATGTCAGGTTATGGATTCATAACAGTACGGTTATGAATTTCTGTTCCCAGGCCAACCTTGGTGGTATTTTGTGAATCTTCTTTGAGCACAAGCATTGTGAGATCAGAATGGGTGAATGTGTTCTGTGAAAAATGTGCTCCTGCCGGTCTTCATGCGTCTCTGTCCTATCTATGTATTTCGTGAGAGTTCATTCTGGTGCATAGTTCCACCTACTTAGTTTCCCTGAGGCCATCTGGTGACATACTACACATGTAGGTTCCATGTTTATTGTTGTGGCTCTGGAGAAGTGGTCACAGGGTTTGCATTTATTTCTAAGGCAGGGTTGTGTCCCATTTGGAGTCTCCTGATTGGAGGGGAGATTGCATTTGTTAGTGAGCAGGACCAGGAGGATGCTTGAAGACCGGGAGCAGGGAATCTTTCCCTCAAGGTCCTATCTTTTTTTAATTGTATGTTGCAATTGTTTGATCCTTGTTATGGGTTCTAGTGTGGGATGGTATATACCAACCAACATAGTGCAATTTATGGGGGTATTATTATTGTATTACAGTAGGTTATTGCAAGGCATTCACAAGACTTTTTCAAAGATGTGATATGTTTCTCTGCTGGAGTGTCCTTTCTGGGGAGGAGTTCTCATACTTCCTAAGAAATCAGGGCAGTTGACTAGTTACCTCAGGTGCCTGTACAGGCAGTCCTCGACTTACAGTGTTTATAAATTGACATACTTTTTCAACTTTGTAAAGTCAAAACTGACGTCATAATGCTTGATCTGATGCGACAAGTTCGCTGCATCGCTCATCTCCCTGGAGAACAGCTGTCCAAACGTCTTTGGACACTTTCTTTAGGAAAACAGACAAGGCTCCAGAAAAACTTGTAGCCAAGACTCCTGAGAAGACTCCAGCCAAGAACGCTTCAAAAAGTCCAGCAAAGTCGCCTCAAAGAAGTCCTTCCAAATCAATATGATTGCTATTTACAATATAAAGGCATTAATGTAGCTATATTGCTCATTTATAATTGATTGGGCACAAAATTCTGGGATATCTTTTGGTGAAAATAGGGTATCGGACCTTGGTTCAGGAACCAATCCCCCATTTAAAACATTGTTTCTTATGAGGAAATTGGTTCTAAGTTGCAACATTTCAACTTACGACATGGTTTTCAGGTTTTCAGTTGTGTCGTAAGTTGGAGGACTGCCTGTACACAAATGCACGGAGCCTGGGAAACGAGCAGGAAGAATTGGAAGTTCTTGCACAATCAAGGAACTATGATGTGATTGAAATACCAGCGACTTGGTGGGATAGCTGATGTGACTGGAGTACTGTCATGGATGGGTACAAACTGTTCAGGAAGGGCAGGCAGGGGAGAAGAGGAGGAGGGTTTGCATTTTATGTAAAAGAGCCATATGATTGCTTAGAGTTCCAGTATGAAACTGGAGATGGGCCTATTGAAAGTCTCTGGGTTAAGGTTAGAGGGGAGAGCAACAAGGGTGATGTTGTAGTGGGTGTCTGTTATAGACCACCAGACCAGTAGGAAGTGGTGGATGAGGCTTTCTTTAAACAACTAGTGGAGGTTTCCCAGTCAGGCCCTGGTTTTCATAGGGGACTTCAATCACCCTGATATCTGCTGGGACAGCAGATCCTCAAGGAATCCATTTCTAAGCACTTGGAGGAGAAGAAGGTGATTAGGAACAGTCAGCATGGATTCACCAATGGCAAGTCATGGCTGACCAACCTGATTGCCTTCTATGATGAAATGACTAGTTCTGTGGATGCAGGGAGACTGGTGGATGTGGTGTACTTTGAGTTTAGCGAGGTTTTTGATACAGTCTCCCACAACATTCTCACAGACAAGTGAAGGAACAGTGGGCTGGATGAATGGACTGGAAGGTGGACAGAAAAGTGGCAGGAGCTTCGAGCTCAAGTCAAGGGCTTGATGTCTAGTTGGCAGCCGGTATCAAGTGGAGAGCCTCAGGGGTTGGTCCTGGGGTCAGTTTTGTTCAGTGTCTTCATCAACAACCTGGAAGATGGCACAGAGTGCACCCTCAGCAAGTTTGGAGATGACACCAAGCTGGGATAGTAGCTAGTAGATATGCTGGAGGGTAGGGCTGGGATTCAGAGTGACTTAGACAAATTTAGGATTGGGCCAAAAGAAATCTCATGAAGTTCAACAAGGACAAGTGCAAAGTCCTGCATTTAGGATGGAATAATCCCATGCATCAGTACAGGCTGGGAGCTGACTGGCTGGGCAGTAGCTCTTCAGAAAAAGATGTGGAGGTTACAGTGGACAATAAGCTGAATATGAGCCAACAGTGTGCCCTTGTTGCAAAGAAGGCTAATGGCATACTGGACTACATTGGCAGAAGTGTTGCCAGCAGGTTGAGGGAAATGATTCTTCCCCTCTGTTCAGCACTGGTGAGGCCCCATCTGGAGTACCGTGTCCAGTTTTGGGCTCCCCATCACAGAAAGGATGTGGACAAATTGGAGAGAGCCCAGCAGAGGGGAACAAAAATGGTTAGGGGGCTGTGGCACATGACTTGCGAGGAGAGGTGGAGAGAATCTGGGCTTAGTCTAGAGAAGAGAAGACTGCAGGGAGATTTGATAGCAGCCTTTAACTATCTGAAGGGGGGTTCAAAAGAGAATGGAGCTGGACTGTTTTCAATGCTGGCAGATGACAGAACAAGGAGCAACGGTCTCAAGTTGCAACAAGGGAATTGTAGGTTAGATATTAGGAAAAAATTTCTCACTAGGAGGGTAGTAAAACACTGGAACAGGTTACCCAGAGAGGTGGTAGAATCTCCATCCTTGGAAGTTTTTAAGACCTGGCTAGACAAAGCTTTGGCTGGGATAATGTTTATAGGTTCATAGATGTAGGGTCGGTGGGGACCTGAACGGATCATCAAGTCCGACCCC